CTCTCTCTCTCTGTCTCTATCTATCTCTCTCTCTCTCTCGCTCTCTATCTTTCTCTCTCGTTTCCTATCTCTCTCACACACACACATACACACATACACACATACATCAGCTTAGTCTTGTTCACCGATTCGCACACGGTCACACCCATTAGAGCAACGTAATGTCACTGATGCCAACTCTGTCTCTTTTTTCTCTCTTTTTTTTCGTGGTAATGACTACCATAGATGTTTCATCCCTCTAATAAAAGGTACCTCGAACTTGGCTTCGTATGTTTCAGCATCAACTTTTCATTCCGTATTCGAAATCATTATCTATATTTTCGTTTTCGTATCTACAAGCATTGATCGTAGAGTACTAAAGTTACTTTTTATAAACCAAAAAGGTAACTCTATATCCATGTACAGATATCCGCAATTGTTTATCTGAACGTTAATGTCTTGTACGTATATAGTAATAATCTCGTATACTTTTAACCTTTACCCTTCGGCTCTCTCATTTCTTAACGTGCAATGCCACGAATCTATTTCAGTAAGCTTTTTGCGTAGAAAAAAGGGACAGACCAAGAGTTAGTCAGTGAAAGAGAGACAGAAAAAGAAAAAGAGAGAGAGAGAGAGAGAGAGAGAGAGAGCAAGAGAGAGAAAGAAGGAAGGCGTATCCGCGAACATTAAGCTATATCGATCGGCCGGGCTTTCTAAATGTGTTCTCCAGTATCACGACCGAGGAACGATGCATCGCAAAACTTACCGATCGATCGAGACTATACTTCGCCGGTACGAATAGAAGAAAAAAAACTTAGAGAAAGAAATGAGAAATAGAGAAACTATACTTGCTTTCGTATCAACTAATTTATCCGATTCCCGATGATTCCTTATTATCTATAGCTACTCCTCCATTTTATTTTCATGCACGCGACAGCAACAATTTCTATTTATCTTATGTAAGAGTTCATAAGATGTATGTATATGTCTTTACGTAAATATATATATATATATATATATATATATATGTATGTATGTATGTATACATACATACATACTTAGGTAGACATGTAGATCATAAGAAACAATATGTGTAAGGTTTCTTTCGACTATCTCTATTACGAGAATTTCATCAGTAGTAGTGATTCTTTTCAAATTTCCCGCGTTACTTCCTCAAAATAATTATCACGTTTACGAATAACATTTTCATTGCTTTTCGTTCATGCATATACGGTTACACATGTATATAATAATGATCTATATATATACGAATAATCCTACAGTCAAAACAGAGAATTTCTCACAACACGCAATACCGAACAAATTAATTGGCTTGTAATTAACGCGAGGAGCCACGACGATTACGTGGCTGCTTAATTGATTTATCACCCTCTTCAAGTCCGTCAACCAGCCGAAGAGCGTTCGATAATTTCATGAGAGAAAGAGAGAGAGAGAGAGAGAGAGAGACATCTCTCTTGTTTCTAACTATATAGAGAGACATCTATGTATATCTTGTCTCTATCTTTTTTATTTATATATTTTTTTATTATATATATATATATATGTATATATATATATATATATATGTTCTCTTAACTTTATATCTCGTCTGTCACGTTGAAAGATTCACCATCCATCATCGGCGATGTTCTCATTAAAATGGATTCATTCATCGATGTTTTTCAATTCCGTCGTTACCGTCACTTACTTCTTACCTCCTCTTACTTCCGAAGCTAGGCTACCGTTTTAAAATAACCTCGCGTAATTCTCCTTTCGCTTTATGTATGTCTACATATGTACAATGAGACGAAGATATCGAAAATTTAATGGAAGTATCGACGATTTCTTCTGACCCCGTACTAGGGTTCAATAACCCCGAACAGCCGGACAGAATTTTGACCGAACTATGGCCGACGTGCAATTACATCCGTCCCTTTTCTAATGCGGATCGATGACTGCCGCGTAGGTCTAACCCTCGAAAAATATAAATTACGACAGCTGGATCATGACTAGACGGAACGGAACGGCAGTCGAGTCGGCTGCGTTTGCTTCCATTCTTTGAGATACACGATCGTTACGAAACCTTTCCCCCCTTACTGTGGACGACTATTTTTTTTTTATTATTATTTTTTTTTCTTTTTTTTAATTTCTTTTACCCTCGATAATTAATTGCTAATTGCAATATTTCTTTTAATCCTCTTGATAATAAATTATTTAATTATTGAGAGTATACTGATACCGATTAAAAATAAACTGACAATTGCGTTCATTAATTTCCTAATTTATTATTTATTTAAAGATTTATCTGATCGCTTTCTAATTACGAAGAATTAACAGGGTAAACGATCAGACCGATCGGATGGATTAAACGTAAGTCCTTTTCTAAGTAGATATCATATTATTTCAATCCAGCATATAAAATAATTCGATAATATTATTTCAATCATTGTATCACAAAAATATTGATCTTCGATTTATCGAACGATAAGTTCGCATAAGCATACAGGATAACTCAAAAATTACTTGAAAATAGGATTTACGAGACCGATGTTATGTATGTAATAAGTATTCATTCCTAACAGTTTTACGAGTATAGTGAGGCAAAAATGTTGCGAAAGTTATCGGGATAAAGAAATGCCAAAAGAATAAACGAACGTAGTAAGTCCGAGGAATAGCGTTTTCTTTTTTTGTTTTCCGCTAAATCTATTTATAATCTTCGCCGGAAATACATTTTTATTCGAATAGAAATTTTTGTTTCCAAAATATAAGTCAAATCGAGCACTATATAATTCCGTTGTTTCTCGTATACTTTGTACGATTTTTCCTTTCTCTTTTATTCGAGACAAAACGATCACGTATCATCGAAAAGAAAGTTACTGTTCGACATAGCTTCTACGGCACGCGGTAACGGAAATAAGTATCCAAAAACTCTGAGAGTGTAGTTATTGGCACGGCAGCCAAGTTTTCACCGGTTCGTTTCGTCAGTGCTGCATAATTTTGGTCCGTCATCGTTTTCGAGAGAGAGAGAGAGAGGAGGGGGAGGGGAGAAGTAGAGAGAGAGAGACAAATAGACAGATAGACAGACAGAGACAGACAGAGGGAAAGAAAGGAAGTTTCCGCTTGTGCGAAAAATTTCGAGTTGAGGTCACTCATGAGTTCACTTTCACTCCATTGACCTATGACTGTCGCATTATAGATCTCTATATTTTTTTCTTCTTTTTTTCTTCAAAAAGAGTACCAACCATCTATCTAAAGAAATGTCATTGTAAGGTCAATTGAGAGAGAGAGAGAGAGAGAGAGAGAGAGAGAGAGAGAGAGAAGAGAGAGAGAAAAGAAATAGTAAAAGGAGTTAATCGTTTTCGTAACGATTCAAGGTCATCAGTAGTGCAAGGTTGTGATGAAAGAAGAAAAGAATGTGTTGGTATGAAAAAAGAAAGAAAAAGAAAAAACAAATAAAAAAAAAAAATAAAAAGAGAAAAAGCTAGCAAAGCTGGATGATCTCCAGAAACTCTATTCTAAGCTGCACGTATCCCTTGCGTCTCGTAGGACGAAACGAAAGGTGATACCGTGTGCGCGGCACGTCCCAGATTTGTAAAGGTGTCCAAACGGAAGTGGGGATCGATGAACCGATGGAAGTGAATTGGAGCAGGAAGATAATCCAAACTGGAAGGGGGAAAGGGAAGATGTAGGTAAGGTGTTCTTGGCCGGTGAACTTTCTTTTCTCAGAATTCGAAAGTTCGTCCACCTTTTTCAACAATGAAAGGAATAGGATCTAAGAGATCTCAATGAGAATCGTAAAAAATTCACCAAAATGAACGTAACGTACCTGTATTGAATATTTAATATCAAGGTTAATCATTACATCTTTTCTTTTCTTTTCTCCTCTTTAAATTCCATCCCAACTTTATGACTATAAACGAGGATGGTGTAATGGAATAGGCAAGAGTAAAAAAAAAATGAAAAAGAAAAAAGAGAGACAGAAAAAAGAGAAAGAGAAAGAGAGAGAGAGAAACCTTGAACGTGTCGTATATCTTGTAGTTAGAGGACGAAAGTTTCGCGTTGTCCTTACGGTAGCGTAGGTTGTGGTTTCGAGGGAACTCGTTTGGGATACTAAGGGGAAGGTTGAACGAGGCTAAAGAAGGACCCTTATCTCGATGCGATAGGGTAGTTGGACCGGATGAAAAAACGTAAAGGGGGTGGTTGTGATCTACAATGAGAGGATGAAGGGGGTAGGCGAGAGACTTCGAAGGGAACGCACTCTTTTCAATAGCATACGATGAAGGGATACTCGTAGATACATACATATGTATGTATGTATGTATGTATCCGAAAAGGATCGATTCTCATAACATTCTCTATTCATTAATCTCCAATTAACAATATTAATAAAACATTGGACAAATCGTCGTAATATCGAGGAAGATTAAAAGAAAGAAAGAAAAAAAAAAAAACAAAAAAAAAAAAGAAAGAAAGAAAGAAAGTCGACATCGAACACGACAGTCTTATTGTTTTTATTTCTTCTTTATAATTTCTCACTTTTTCGAAAGGAATATTCTTGCAGCAGCATCGAAATTTAGCAAAGTGAAGATGTCTCCGAGAGATCGATGGCATCCGTAAATTCGTCCCTTTTTTCCCCTCCTTTAAGGTTCGATCATGAAACCCTCCCTAACAAGAGGGGAAGGGTAAAAGAAGAGTGAAGAACGAGCGAAGCGAATCATAGCGTCGTCGTAACAGTAGGAGGGGTGTTGCGTACACGCTCGCTGCCGCCGCCACCGCCACCGCCACCATCGCCACCGCCACCGCCACCGCCGCCGTCGCTGTCGCCGTCATCGCCGTCATCGTCGTCATCGTCGTCATCGTCATCATCGTCATCATCACCGTCGCCGTCGTCGTTGTCGTCGTCCTCATCGTTCGTCGCTCGTGTCGCGCTCGTCGCTCGTGTCGCTACCGTAGTATCGGCCGAAGTTTACCGAACACACGCCGAGTACGACCGAGCGCATGCTGACTCGTCTCGAGTCGTGTTACGAGTCGTTCGCGAAGGGACGTGTGCGTTCAGTCTCTAGGTAGCCTCCGCCCGTAACGCGTCGTTCCTTCTGTTTCCTTAGTCTAGTATTTAACGCTTTAATTTATCGTCTCGCGATTTCCTTCTTCCATAATCTCGCCTCTTCTTAATCTTTTCCTTTTTCTTCATCCTTCGTGCTCTAGCTGTCTCTCTCTCTCACTCTCTCTCTTTCTCTTTTTTCTTTCTATCTATCTATCTATCTATTGATCTATCTATCTATCTCTCTCTTTTTCCTCTTTTTGAACTAATCGACGCGAAGAAAATTATACGCATACACGCGCGCACATATAAATACATACATATACAACGTGTACGTCGAAAGAATACTCGGACATCATATATATATATATATACATATATATACACACACACCAAATACGCACGTACGCATATATACAAAGAAAGAGAGAGAGAGAGAGACGTACGTATAAGTAGACACGCGTTAACACAAAGCTCGCACGCGAGTTCTTTCTCTTCACACGTCCTCGTTCCTCCTTCACCTCTTCTCCTCTTTCCTCCTGGAATAGAGGAAGAGACGAATGAGCGCGATACGACGTCGGTTTTCATCTTCTTCTTCGTCGTCGTCGTCGTCGTCATCGTCGTCGTTGCCGTCGTCGCCGTCGTCGTGGTGAAATTAAACGTGTGTGTTACTAACGCGTATCTCTCTCCCTCGGAAAAGCGAGAGGAAGAGAAAAAGAGAGAGTATCATTTCGAGGGAAAGGCGAAACATAAATGCCGATTTACGTGCGCCCGCGTCGTTGTACTTTTCTTTCATTGATTTCCCCTTCCGTTCCGGGCGGTGGTGCGAGAGCGTGATAAGAGAAGAAGGAGTAGAAGAAGAAGAAGAAATAGTAGAAGAAGTAATAGAGGAAAAAGAAGACTCGCGCTGCATTCGAAAATATAAAGACAAGAAGAGGATCCGAGGAAAAAAGAACGTAGATCGTTCGTGGCCTGTCGCGTTTCAAAGTTTTCTTTGAAACCAGATTAAAGAAAAAGAAAAAAAGAAAGAGAGAAAAAGAGAGAGACATACATAGTCTCTCGAGTGAGAAGAGAAAATAAAAAGAAATACAAATAATATTAATAATACTAAAAAAAAAAAAAAAAAAAAAAAAAAAAATAAATAAATAAATAAAAAGAAAAAAGAGAAATAAAGAGCGAAGAAAAGGAAAGATTTTCTTTCTTTCCTTCTCGGTACTTGATTTCACGTGCGATATCGGGTAATAATAAGAAAGGAAAAAGAAAGAAAAGAAAAAAAAATAAAGAAAGAAATTGGAGAACGGAAGGAAAGAAGGAAGGACAGGAGTCGAGAGAGAGAGAAAGAGAGAGAGAGAGAGAGATACATAGACAGAGATAGAGATAGAGAAAAAGAAAAAAGACAGAAACGAGAAACGAACGAACGAAGGGAAAGAAAAAAAAAATTGGACTTGTGATAAAGCGAACATAGAGACGCATTAATATACAAAGGGATAAGGGATAGCCTGGATTATTTTTTGGGGAAGTGAGAGTGAGAGAGGTGAACGAAGGACGACAGGTAAGAAGATACAAGTAAGCGTCCTCCTTTTTCTCTGTGTCATTCTTTTCTTCTCTTTCTTCTTCTTCTTCTTCTTCATCATCTTTTTCTTTCTCTTTCTCCTCTTGACTTTTTCTTTTTATGTCCTCTCCTTTTTTTTTCTCTCTCTCTCTCTCTCTCTTTCCTTCCTTTCCCCTTCCTCCCTTCTCCTGGAACGTTTGAGAGAGAGCACGTGCCACGCGAAAGTTTCGTGGAACGTCGACGAGTTGGTTCTCACCCCTCGCTCGTGCCATCTCTCTTTCTCTCTCTTTCTTTCTTTCTTTTTCTTTCTCGTCGTTTCTTTTTCTCGCGTTCTCTCTCTCTCTCTCTCTCTCTCTCTCTCTCTCTCTCTCCTTATCTTTATCTCTTTCTATGCGTGTCTAGCGTGCGCGCTTCCCCTCCCCCATACTTTTTTCTCTCTCCCTCTCTTTCCTCCCTTCTCTCTTCTCTCTTTCTCTCTCTCTTTCCCCTTCCGTATGCGCTGCTGCTGCTGCTACTGCTGCTGTTACTGCTCCTGCTGCTGCTGCTGCTGCTGCTGCTGCGTGTCAACGCACTTATGTGTGCGTGAGATTGTGTACGTGCGCGCGCGCACGCCTGTGCGCGTGTGCGTCGTCATGGTACTGCCTCGGGTGGAAGTGTAGTTCTCTCTTTCTCTTTCTTTCTTTCTTTTATATATATATATATATATATATGTATATATATATATATCCATCTCGCTCACTCTCTTGGTCTTGTGTGCTCACGCCAAGTGAACAAGAGAGAGAAAGAGTGATGAAGAACATAAAAGAAGTGGGGGAGGGGATTTGTGGCAAGGGGTGTAGGGGGGCTGTACGGCAAAGGGGAGGGTAACAGAGAGGGGCGGAGACGTTGTAGCAGCCGCGCTCGTATTGATCGGTCCCGGCCACGCGATTTTCACGATCCGTCGCCATGGCCACCTGGCCAGCGGCCGAAGATCGTATCTACCGGCGTTCGTGGAAATCGAACTTTAACCCTTGAGAAATAACCCTCCGCGTGCCTCGCGTTGTTACTACAAACAACCACTACTACTACTACTCTACTACTACTTCTACTACACTACTATCATCGTTACTCATTACTATTAGTACTACTATTGCTATTACTATGAATACTTTTTTTTTTTAACTTTTATTCTTCTTGCTTTCGTCTTCTTTGAGATATCTCATATACATACACACACACACACACACACACACACACAATTCGGTGTGATAAATTATTTCTTATTTCGTATAACTTCGGATACTACGCGAATTATTAATTTGTATAAATAAATTCGTACGACTAAAAGTACGATACTTAAAATGAGTTCTGAAAAATTATTATTTTTTTATGCTATTCTGTTGATTGATATTTTTTTAATTATTTTGAATATTAAACGTTATTGTATTTATTAATAGTTCTACATTCGTAGGTAATAAATGTATATGAATTTTCTTTTTTCTTTATATAAAAATTTTATCTTCATGTGAAATATAAATATGATAGAAATTGCAAAGTTGTCTCGTATGGCGTAATTACGTAGTTCAAGTTCGCGATTCCACGAAATTCCATTTCGTTCCAATTCCGTCAGTTCCCTTTCGTTAAGGGAGTATCGCGTGTTCTTCCATTGTACTATAGCATATTTTTTCTATTTTCTTCTTTTCCACTAAAACATCGTTCGTAAAATTGTTCTACAGTTTTATTGTATAGTAAAGTCTAATCACATTGTGCGTGTGTATGTGTATATGATTATGTAGCGTCTGAAATATTTAGCCGTTTTATTGAGAAATTTCAGATTCAATTAAATGTAAAGACGAATTTGGTAAAGATATCCAAGGAATTAATATATATATATATATATATATATATATATATATATATATATATATTATTTTCTAGGATTGGAAAAGAGGTTAAAAATGCAAAGTAGTATATTTATTTGCATAAATTTGAATTCTGATAGACTGTGGAGTACGACGTTGTCGTCCATCATTCGTCATATGCCTTAAACGGAGTTGCAACCCTTTGCATAAACTTGCGTATATGCATATGTATACATATATATATATATATATATATATATATATATGTGCGTGTATTTCGTTATTACATAGATATCGGTCCGCATTGTATTCACTGTTGTTACGCTGGGTAAACAAAATGATGCTACTGTATTCACGCCGAAAACTCGCCATTTTGAAGTCAGAGCAACGAACTATGATAATTCCTTATGGTGTGTAGTATATCGTTTCTCTCTCTTCCTCTTTCCTTCTCCTCCCTTCTCTCTTTTTATCTATCTATCTATCTATCTATCTCTTCCGGCCTCCATTGTGGAGGAGTCCTAAAATACGCGCGTCGTTGGTGAGTGCGCGCTCGCGTCGATCGATAACGACAAAGATGCGGTGCCACGATAAAACTTGCCCATAGATATACATACATACATAAATACATATATATATATAATATATATATATATATATATATATATACATATTATATTTTTCAGCACGCGAATACTCCTACGCACGCACATGTCGTCCTTTTTATTTGTATTTTCTTTCCTTTTTTATTTATTTATTTATTTGTTTATTTATTTATTTATTTATTTATTTATTATAGTTATTTATTTATTTATTTATTTATTCTTTTTTTTTTTCTTATTTGTGTAAATACCCTTAAACTATTTCTTTCTTCCTATTTATATTCCTTTCATCGCAACAACAAACAGTGTTAGTTAGGAAGAAAACGTTTCTACGTCGTTTAAACCACCTGCGGTGTGTCACTTAACTTCCTCCCGTGTTTCCCCATAATTAGAGTTATACGAAGATAATAATAACGACCTATCACTTTTCTATAGAACTATGTATGTATTTATATATATATATATATATATATATATATATATATATATATATATAATATGTACATCTGTGTCAGCCGATTGAAATTTCGATCGATTTAGACTTTAGCTTCTGTTTGCTCTACTCCTATGTTTTTCGAACGAATATTATATCGTGAACACTGATGATCGTAGGTGGCATGATTCCGATTAGATTCCCCGGGACCTACCCTTTGATACCCTTTTTATTATAGCCTTTTACATTTAATATTATCTTCTCATATTCCTTTTATTTTTAACTTAATCCTTTATATCACGACGAATATAGAGCAATAAAGAAATTTATTCTTCTCGACGATTTACGCTAAAATTATCTCATTTTTTTTCTGTTTTTTTTTTCTGTCTCTCTCTTTTTTTTTATAATTCATTTTCCGAAAAAAAATTACATTTTCGCGTACGAAAAAACAATTTTATTATCTTACGTCGTCCTATATCTGTTTTTTCTTCCAGTTAAAAAAGAGAGTGTGAGAGGAGGGGGGAGGAGTAGGAGAAAAAGAAAAAAATACATACACACACACACACACACACAATTGCCCATCGAGCAAGTACAATACGGACTCTCTTTTATATCGCTTTTGCTCTTTACCGCTTTTCATTTCGCCGTATGTTGAGATCCTAGTCGGTGCCCCATCTGCCAGTGGTTCTCAATATTATCCAAAATTAAATATTACTTTCGTCGATCTTTGGAAAAAGGTAGAAGAAAATGTTTTCTTTATCTTCTACCCCGGCTCGTACTTATTCAAGTACAACTTTTTAAAAATCTTCTCGTTTAATCCAAATTATTAATATATCACAAAAGCTCTCACATATTGAGAACCTTTATAAAATACCATGGGAATCGCCATTGCCCTCTGAGGAACATAATAGAAACCTATCTATCTATTACCCCCAGGACATCGTGGACAGCTCGCGTTTGGGGTGCCCACCAACGGGTGGTGGTGGCAATGGTGATAGTAGTAGTAGTAGTAATAGTAGTAGTAGTAGTAGTAGTAGTAGTAGTAGTAGTTGTAGTGAAAGTGACTGCTTCGACTCGCTTGTCTGCGTTTGCCTGCGTGCGTCCATATATTTACGCGAGTTCCATATGAAGGGACTCTAAGGACAGCTGATGGCCGCGTACGTTGTTCGCGAGGCAGTGAAGAGCGATCGAGGTGGGTCGAGGGGTCTGAGGGGAGGATGGAGAAGGGAAAGGGGCTGGACGGTAGGAGAGACCGAAGGGAAGTTGTGACGGCGGTGCAAAAAGGATAGAAAAAGAAAGGGAGAGAAAGAGGGAATTAAAATATACCTAGCTGGCTCGTGCTGGCTGATACACACACACACACACACACACACACGTATGATGTATGTATGATGTCCGTAGCAGCTGTGTATACATACTCGCTTTTCTCTCTCTCTCTCTCTCTTTCTTTCTCTCTCTCTCTCTCTCTCTCTCTCTCTCTCTCTCTCTCTCTCTCTTATATGTAACACACCCTATATAGCAGTGTTTCTCAACGAATAGTTCACTGCCCAACCCCATCTCCCTACTCTTTATCCATCTCTAACCATCATGATGTATTACGTACAAGACTTTTCTTTTTTTAACACGTTGATCGGCCCATATTACCCGATTTTGGGTGACAGGTAAAGTTCCAAATTAGCCACGTCAACCGTATATACGGGTGTGACGTTTTATATATATATATATATATATATATAAATACACTGGGTTTATATAAAGTCCGGTAACATCGGTAAAATTGAGATACGTCGCACGATGGAACATGCTATATAAGAGATGTCAATTTCGTACGTACTAGATATCATTTTTTAAGGTATACTCTCAAAATTTCTTTTCGCACATGACATTGTCGAGATTCTACATTCGAATGCATTCGTTTGCTGCACCGTTAATTAAATTCTTTTTTCTTTTTTAATACCAATCAACTGCATTATCTTCGGCATTATATCGATTTCGATTTATTCTTGAATAGACTATTCTTGTAAAATCCATATCACCGTATTATTCTCTCTCGTTATTATGTTAAGTTTGTCAAAATCCGAATCAGAATCAGATGATATACGTAATTCTGTTTGTTTTTTTTGTCTTTCTTTCCTTTTTTCTTTCTTTTTTTTTTTTTTTTTTTTTTTTTTTTTTTTTTTTTTTTTTTTTTTTTTTTTTTTTTTTTTTTTTTTTTTTTTAATTGGAAAACTCGTTATTTCGAAAGTTCTCGAATTACAAATCCTGTAACAGATTTTTTCCTCGCTGCTATCCGATTTTTTGACAATTCTTAATTTATTTATTTTTTTTTTGCGCAACATTACAACTACAAGGGAAAATGATATAAATATTGTTAAAAAAAAAGAAAAAAAAAATATGACCATGCTCGAAAATCTCTTCATTTTCGTTTGTTTAGAATCTTCTATATCCTCTTTTCGAATATTAGAAACCACAAAGTACTTCAAATCTTTTGATAATTATATTGAATCTTATCTTATTTTAGGAAACCTACTTAGAACAAAGGTCGTTTCGTCTGAACACGCTATCTTCGTACCTAACGCTACTACTTTAGGTATACTTAAGATCTTCACATACGTAAAATGTAATACGTAAGCCATAAGAAAATCCACTAATCGGAGTTCGACTAATTACAATAATTCTCTTCCACATGTTTCGATAGTAAAATTTAAATAGTAGAGCCCTATTCAATCTATGAAATAAAATTCCATAAGGTTGATATATTCTTATGATATATTTACGTTCTACGTCGATGCGTATTTTAAAGACATTTAAAACAATTCATCGAATAAACATATGTATATATATATATATATATATATATATATTAGCTTTGTTGTCTCTTGATAAAAAAATATTACGTTTATTTCGTTCTTCGTTCTTCGTTGATCTTAATGTGTTTTTTTTTCTTTTTTTAATTAATTAAGAGATAAAAAAAATTACTATTATTATTTTTTATAATTATCACAGAGCAATTATTTTTAAAAGTCTCTCTTTAATTCTTTATAACGATAAGTATTTTTTGTAATTGTGTTTTCTCTTTTTTTTCTTTTTCTTTTCTTTTCCTTTTGTTTGTTCTTACTCGGAGAACTTTAATTAAGATCTCTTTTTACGTTCGTTGCCATTATCCGAGGAGGGATAAATCAGTGTTGTTAAAATGTTTAAAATGGAACATGCGAATAATGAAAGTTTGGGAAACACTGCTGTATATAGGACCAACCACTGCGTAATTCTTTCCCTTTCTACTTTACCATCTCTTTCATTCGTTCACTTTCCTTCTCCCTTATTCTCCATCTCTCTTTCCTGTTCAACCCCAACCAAGTAAATCCTTTTCTCTTACCACATTTATACCGGGTGTCTCCCCGTGATAAAAGTTTTACGTATTAATTATGTCTCTTTCTCTCTCTCTCTCTCTCTCTCTCTCTCTCTCTCTCTCTCTCTCTTTTTTTTTCTTTTCGTAGGCTCGTTAATGAGGACATCTGATGCGCGTAGGCTTTTCATTACATTTTTATCTTTGAGTAGATGGTAAACGATGGTGGAAGGGACCGACATTAATTATTTTTCGTGTTTTAGCTAAGATAAATTCATTTTGTATGTATGTATGTATATACGAACATGTTACCATGTCTGAGCTCTGTAAGATCTCTAATCTATATCACGCATTCACATACACGTACATATACATACACATACATTTATTTTTTTTATGAATTTTTACACACACACACGCACACACACGTTTGTCCTTAATCTTGAGATAATCGTATCTATCAATAATACGTTCAATAGTTTTCATTATTGGATTTTGTAAATGAGCTTTCTTCTTTCTTTTTTTTTTTAAATTATTATTATCATTAACTGATACTTATTCGACACCCTATAGATATGCTCTTCCATAGTACTTACGAAGACTCTGATGGTGTGGTAGTGATATTGATAGTAGTAGAAAGGGCGGAGTGGTTACACGAGGGAGAGGCCAGCCCTTTAAACGTCGACGGGGTTCGTTGCCCCTTTAAATTATCTCGGCTCCTATTGGGCTTTTTTCTCCGACTCCTTTTAACCGTCAATACAGCTTGTTTTTTTACGGTCTCCGTTTTTCTGGAAGTCATTGTCGAGCTGGATTGAAATCGTATTCTTTTTTATTTATTTTTTTATTTTATTCTCTTTTATTTTTATTTTTCTTTTCCCACCACATTCGTAGTAGAAGATATACATTACTTACACGTATGTAATGTGAAAATTCATATCGTTCGATGGAAAATTTGAAGAAACGATTGTTTAAGGTCCATAGTTACAATGATTTCTAATAATTGTCAATTATTAATTTTACATTGATAAATATATATATATATATATATATATATATATATATATATGTATGTATGTATATATAATTATTAATTATTATTCATCATAATAAATATTAAATTATTTGAATAATTATTAAAGATCCAAAAATATAGAAATTATTTGCCAATATTATCTGAAAATGATTGTTTAAATATAAGATCAATTTACGATCTTTTCTATTTAAAATAAGTAAGAAGATGTATTCTACATATAATCGATAATAATGTGTTCTTTACACGTAGATTTATTCCAAGAGTTTACCAATGTGACCTTTAAATGCCCGAAAAAAGAAAAAAAGGAAAACAAAAGAAAACTTTGCACGCAGAATGATTCGGTATAACTATAGCAATACAAAACAACATTCCATTAGTTTCAATGTACACATATATACACATCTACATACATACATACATACATACATACATATATATATATATACACATATATATATATACATACATACATAGACACATAATACAAAGAATAAAGTAAAGAAAATAAATATTATATATTGAAATGAAATACATATATGTATATTTATTTTAGTTGAAAGTAGTGTCGAATGGGATCTTAACTGCTATCGATAAGTATACTCTCGTCAAACGAAATATAGAACATTTTCGTTTATTACATTAAATAAATATAAAATTACTTCATGAGAGTATAGTCATGGACTCTTATCTAGTGTATTAGAAATTAATATCTAACGTACGTTCGTGTATCGTTTGAACTCGAAGATCGTTTTCCCTTCATACATACATTATTATATATATATATATATATATATATATATATATATATATATATATGTATATATATATATATATATATATATATATATATATGTATATATATATATACAAAATATATATATATATATAAAATATTCTATTATATATAATATATTGTGTTTTATATATGTGTATAATATTGTATTTTATATATATATATGTATATTTTTTTTGTTATCCTAGCTATGTTTTGCTGAGGGCAAAAACGAGGAAAGCAACGCACGAGGGTAACTAATAAGCGACTTTCTGCATCCGTGTGTTCGTGTTTTGGTTACATAGCTGACTTGTTGTTTTCCCGTCCTTCGTGGATAGCCTCATCATCGTCGTCATCATAGTCGTCGTCGTCGTCGTCGTCGTCGTTGTCGTTGTCGAATAGCAAACTATTCTCATACTTTCTTTTCTCCTTTTTCCTCTGTTCGTGTTTATATCTAATCCTACGTTTTTCTTTGGGCGTTGCTACGCGATTCTCGTTGTATACTCGTATTATTATTCTTCTTCTTCTTATTCTTATTCTTCTACTTCTTATTCTTCTTCAACGTGTCGTAGTATAATCGGCATCGTTATTCGAATAAGTCACGATCTTTTAATATCTTCAATAATATAAGGAAATTTTTTGTCGCCTCTCTTGTTTCTTCTTCTTCCTCTTTGTTTTTTTCTTCTCGAGTCAAAGAGTTAATTACGACTTAACAAAACTTTTTCGTTCATTTTAATTAACGAACAATCAATCTGTCATTATCGAATCGCAAGTACGTCAATAAATAGATCGATTGATAATTTATGATTAATTTTTTTAACAACAATTGCACGATTAGAGGGAGGTTTCAACCGGTGACATTGGAAAGAGGATTTAAAAGAAATATATATATATATGTATATATATATATATATGAAATATATAATATATGTATATATATATATATATGAAATCATTTTATAGGAAGTCGCAAGATCGATCAATCGGTCATTTTGAATAATCGATTTGAATTTTTCTGCTTTCTCTATTTTCTAGATTTCGTACGTAGTTAGTGACGACCCCTCAGAGGAGTGCAATGATGGCGAACGGAATGGACACTGTCGTACAACAAAATGGAGGATCCACTCTCGGACAGACATCGCAGGAGGAGTCGAAGACGAATCTCATCGTAAATTATTTGCCTCAGAGTATGACGCAGGATGAAATCCGTTCTCTCTTCTCCAGTATAGGCGAGGTCGAAAGCTGCAAGCTTATCCGCGACAAACTTACCGGTAAGTAACTTAAATGAGTCGATGATTATAAAACACGCAAACACATATACACACACAGACAGACAAATACATATATTTATTGCATAGATTATTAACATTATTATAGTTTGATACAATAGAAAATATAATTAATAAATTTAATTTCTTTCGAATTTTCACTCAGGCTAGTTTTATAATTACTGTAATTAATATACAAATATACAAATATGTATATATATATATTTAATATCTTTATTAAATTATAATATTTATATATATATAACGCAGAGTATTTATATATATATATATATTATATACATATACATATACATATACATATACATATACATATATATATATCAGTTTGTGCTAGTTCCATGTGTTAGTTTCTTTTGAAATTGTTGGAATAACAACGCGCCGTGTGCTGCTACTTACACGAATATTGGAGCTAGGCAATGGATTAGAAATCAGTGTATATATATATATATATATATAAATATATATAAAGAGAAAGAGAGAGAAGAACACCTGTCAGTAACAGCTGTTGTTCTACGTTCTCTAATCGGATTCTCACGATAAGATCGATTCGGTTGAAACTATCGATTATAACTATTAGACGTTCTATCGGTTTAACAACCGCGTGGGCGTTCGTAGCTATGGCGAAAAATTACTAGACTTCTCCTATTCGCGTACTATGAAAATAAACTTATTCCTCAAAACGAATCGTTTCGTACGCTTTCATACTGTGCCGTAGTAAAACGATCGTCGACGTTACGGAAGAGCTTCCTTCTTACGCTGTTGTATTTTTTGTTTATTGTATGAATAATAAAAAAAAAAAGACCGAAAGAGAGAGAGAGAGAGAGAGAGAGAGAGAGAATCGCAAAAAAAAAAAAAAAAAAAAAAAAAGAACGAAAAAAGCTACGTAAGATCGTCGTCGTTGCTAAGTGATGACGTAATTTGGGCCGTCAAGAGACACACATACACAAACATATACGTACACACGCATACGCACACCCAAATTATTGAGTATTCTCTACTAGCAAGAGAGGGAGAGAGAAAGAGAGTGAGTGAGAGAGAGAGAGAGAGAGAGAGAGAGAGAGAGAGAGAGAGAGAGAGAGAGAGAGAGAGAGAGAGAGAGAAGGGCGGCACGGTTTATAAACTTGGACGATTATAAATACGCGAATACGTTGTATAAATCCTCTTCCACGAATAGTGGCTATTATGTCAGGGTGGTGGTGAGCAGCGTGGTTGTTAGTAGCGCGCGTTCTTTCGATGGATATGCGAGGAAGAAGAAGGTTATGCGCGAACGAATAGAATTTTATATTGCATTTTATACTATATAGAGAGAAAGAGAGAGAGAAAGAGACGAAATATATATATAGATATATATTTTTTTTTGCAATGATATCGTAAAGTGTACAAGAAAGAGATAGGAAAATAGATTGATGGATGGATGGATGGATGGATGGATGGATGGATGGATGGATGGATAGATAGATAGATAGGTAGATAGATAGATAGATAGATAGATAGATAAAGATGAGCACGTGCGTAGACGTGTTGCGCCTCTATTTTCGGCACGTAAAGAGCGGGGGCGTCATTTGGTTTGAAGCTTTGCCGCTTTATGCTTGACCTCACTGCTTGTAAAATTGCAGGGCCGTATTAAATCGGTGAGGGGGTTGGTACAACATCTCGAATTTTTGCGCCTTGTTTTCGCGCTCGATATACACAAACACACACACGTAAACACATACATGCACATTTATATCTATATTCATATACATATAGATATAGAGAATGAATCGATAATTATTATCACCTTAAATATTTTCTTAGAGAGAAAAAAAGTCAATCAAGTATAGACGAATAATAGTAGAGAAAGATTCATTATATAATTTTAATGATTATTTTTATTGATTCAATTATTATTATTAAGTAAATTTTTCTTTAACTCTCGTAAGAGAAATAATGATATTGTTTAAAATGATAATGATTATTGGATAATCTTGTATCTATTGTGCATTGATGATTCCTCTCTCTCTTTCTCTCTCTCTCTCTCTATCTATCTATCTATCTATCTATCTATATATGTATATATCTTTCTCTATCTTTCTTTGGGTTTTGTCCTTTAATAATGCTCATACTTTCTTTTCGTTTTACAGGTCAAAGTTTAGGATATGGCTTTGTCAACTATCACCGGCCTGAAGATGCTGAGAAGGCCATAAACACTCTCAATGGTCTTCGTCTGCAGAATAAAACTATCAAGGTCAGTTTAGAGAATAAGTTATTATTACAGTTTAATGTACCTACACGTTTTCTTGTCAGGATAGATTTTACATTTCTATATGTCTTCTCTCTCTTTCTCTCTCTCTCTCTTTCTCTCTTTGTCTCCTTTTTCTTTTCTTTTTTCTTTTTTTCTTTTTTTATTTTTTTATTTTTTTTTCTTTTTTTTTTTTTTTTGATTATTTATTAATTCAATTCACATTCTTGTCAGGTATCGTACGCGAGACCGAGCAGCGAAGCAATCAAAGGTGCGAACCTTTATGTGAGCGGCTTGCCGAAGAACATGACGCAGCAGGATTTGGAGAACCTTTTCAATCCTTACGGAAGGATCATTACTTCTCGGATACTCTGCGACAACATCACCGGTAAGTCGTCGAGAGAGCCGAGAAGCAAGAAAATGCGTCGTGTCGGTCTCGCATCGACGTGTAAATAAACGAACGAATGACACAAACGAGTTTTTATTTGGATTTACGAAAGAAACAAAAGATCAAAAAAAGAAACAAAAAAAAAAATAATAAAAAACAAAAAAAAAAACAAAAAAAAAAGAAAAAAGAAATAACAAAAAGAAAAAAAAATAGATAATGACAAAAAAAGAAAAGAAAAAAGAATAAAAAAGAAATTCTCTCCTACGAGATAGGGTGGCTATAATAAATGTGGAGAGACGAATTTAATAATAAATATAAACAGATACACGCATACTATACGTATCGTGTAAAAAGGCTTTTTAGCAATTAGAAATAATGTTATAACATTTTAAAATATAATCGCGCGTTTCAAACACACGTCCGGGTGATGGGGCTTCTATGTTATTGATTCTTTGCTAGAGAAGATCGTAATCTTCGTACTTTCGAGATTCGATCGTCGCGTATTATCGCGAGGTACTACATACATAATATATACATAAATACGTTCCCACGTGACTTTGTTCTAATGACGGAAAGAAAGAAAAAAGAAAGAAAAAAAGGAAAGGAAAAATATTAATAACTTTTCGATTCTAATTTCTCGCTTTTTACATATATATATATATATATATATATGTTATATATATTATCATGGTAACGACTTACGATCGAGAATTACTGTGTTGATTATTACAAAAGGAAAAAAAAAAAAAAAAAAAGAAAAAAGTATTGAACTATATATTAGCGAACCCCTCTATCTTGAGCTCGATCTTAAAAGACGGGTGAGAGAAAGCACATGCGACGAGAAAAAAAAAAAAGAAAAAAAAAGAAAGAGAAGGGTAGGTGAGTAGGCCATGGGGTTGAAGTTGTCTGTGGGCTGGGTCGGTGCGCCTTTCATCGTAGCGAGAACGAAAATACGATCATTGAAAATGATAATCGTGGTCAGTGAACGAGAATTGTCGTCATATTGGTTGCTATTTTTCGTTTTTTTCATTTTTGGTTCTTTTTTATTTTTTTATTATTATTTTTTCTTAAATTCTTCCCGTTCACCAATTATTTCTCTCTCTCTCTCTCTTTCTCTTTCTCTCTCTCTCTCCCCCCTCTCTTTCTCTTTGTGCCTCCTGAAAATCATTTGCTTTATTATTATTATTTTTATTATTATTATTAGTATTATTATTATTATTATTATTATTTTTTTTTTTTTCTTTGTACTAGTTCCTTCGTTTCAAACAGGAGCACCAATAATAACAATAATGATAATGATAATACTAATAATTATAATGAAAATAATAATCGGAGTTATGCTTCGATGATATAAGAACATCGAAGTACGATAAGCTTTTTAAAAGTTATTCGTTATTTTTATTTTTGTTCGTCGTACTCTGATAAATGCCATGAACCCTGATCTTGACCTCCCTATTTGCACACACAGTCTCATGGCCTATCCACCTCTTCACCGTTTATTATTTCACACCCGGCGCTTATTTTCCCCTCGGACAATTCTCACTCCCCCACCTCCCCTTTCCCTCCCTCACCTCACTCTCTTATGTCTACGAAATATCTTTTTTTCTTTTTTCTCTCTTTTTCTTTTCTGTTTCTTTTTTCTCGCCCTCTTTGTCCTTTGTTATTATCCAAACTTTTAAAGGTTTATTTAAACAAGAGAAGTGAAGTTTAACGGTGATTATGGTGGATAGTATTAAGCGTAATTAATTTTCTTTCTTTCTTTTCTTTTTTTTTTTTTTTCGTTGGTTCTGATAAGTGAATAATTACCGATGAAGAGATATTGTAGATAAGCAAAGAAAATTTAAAAAAAAAGAAAAAAGACAATAATAAGAATAAAAAGAAAGGAAGATGATAAAAACAAAAAGAAGCACACGAAAACGAAGGAAAGTAAAATAATCATTGCCAAATATTACATACTTACTTGTCAATGCGTAATGTTTGTATGTACTACTTGCGTGTTCTTTTCTCGCTTTGTCCAGTTTTTTTTCTTTTTTTTTTTTCTTTTCTTCTTTTTTTCTTTTTTCGTTCTCTCCTCGTTGCGAGTTCGCATCCATTTCTTACAAGTCTCTCTTAATACCGCATGAACAAAAAACAAAAAAAAAACAAAAAAAAAAAATTCCTCGTATTTTATATTCTCTCTATTATTGTATGTACGTTTGTTTTCGGCCGACGAAGCCCCTACCCTCACCCCCGCGATGTCTACCGTATATATGTTTAAGTATCATAAAAAAAAGTAGCGTGTAAAATTAATACACGAATATCGCTCTCCCCTTATTTGAGACATTTTTCATTTTGACGGCGTCCTTCAGTTAAGCTTTATCCTTCATCTCTTACGTTGTAACGTTCTCTCTTTATTTCTCGTACGAACGTACCGAATATATAACTAAATAAATAAATAAATAAATAAATAAAATTAATAAATAAATATATATATATAAATAAATAAACAAATAAATAAATAATCGATGCGTTCGATCGACAAAATAATATTTTATGCGAAATAAATTTTACGTTAATACGTCATAATATATGTATGACATTAACATGACATATTTTTATCGTTTTTTTATCCTAAATTATGTTCAATACACGGAAATATTAGTTATTCGGTTAAGATGTCGCGCTACTATGCCGACTATTCGGAATTTTTTTTCAAACACGCATCGACATGCTTTGTTTTGCGTTCGAATCTCCCGCGCAATTCATAACGTACAACAATATGGCGATTGCAGCCAAGTAATAGACATTTTATTATCGTTTATAATCTCGTATCCATCGCGGATTTTGTATATATATGTATACATGTACATTGTGCGTGTGCATATATATATATATATATATATATGCATACGTATATATATGTATACGTGTACATATTAATTAATGTAAAAAGACGAAAAAAAGAGAACATCCCCTCCTATGTTACGCCGGTAAAAATAAGGGGCGAGCGAAACCGTGTTTTCATAGTTGACTTTAACGAGATATGATTTTTTCCGTTTCTGTTTAGTACGACAGTTTGTGCTCGGCGGCGGAGACAATTTGCCCGGTACGTAACTCATAACTCTCTTTTTTCTTTTCCCTCATTTTCCTAATTAAAGAAAAAGAAGACAGACAAGAAGCCGTCTCTTTCTTTCTCTCTCATTAATGCGCGCGAGCTTCTTGCGATATTCGAAATCGCCACACATTACACAAGCGCGCGCACATACACACACATACACTCATACATACACGCATAAATATATAACACCATATTCGTACCAACACATGCTATCATTATAATTTTATTTTCTATTTTATTTATTTATTTTTATTTTTATTTTTATTTTTATTTTTATTTTTATTTTTATTATTATTTTTACGTTTTGTTTTTTGTAACGTATTGCGGGGAAATAGAAAACCGATTCGTAGCGTGATATCAGAGTATTTTGAAAATTGCGACGCCATCTTGCCATATCTCATCTCAAGAAGAAAAATTATAAATAAACGAAGCATTCAATTCTCGCTCGTTTTCGTTTGTTATATACGTACATACGTAAATTAATATGTCACGTGAAATTTCTTGATTAATCAATAATTATAAGCGATTCCAGAAATAATAATGCTACGAACCCGATTTCTTTCCCCTCCTCTTAATAATAATATTTTCGTCTTTTTCATTATAGATGAAAAGTTGTCACAGTTTCGATGCATGGTCGAGGATTTCAAAAAAGAATTTTTTATTTAATTAATCATTTATTTCCTTTAATACTCTTCGAACGAAATGTGAAAGAAATAGGAAGATTATTGCTTTTGTCGCAGTGGTTCTCATTCCAATACGAACATTATAATACTAACCTCTTTCTTCCATTCATCGCCCCCTTCGACCAAGTGCCGAGTGACAAGCGAAATGAGAAAGAAAAGAAAAAGAGAAAGACAAACGGCGAAGGAATCGTTCGCGTTTCTCTTATTTTCTCTTCTTTCTACATTTCGTATAACTTCGATACTAATTTTTTCTTTTTTCTAATATATACATATGTATACCTGTTTTCGTACTTTGCACAGCAATGAACGAACACCACATCCACGCACGCACAAACGCACATAGTGCAAAAAGCACAAGTTAAAAAATACAAACGCACGAAAATACATGCACATGCACATGCACATATACGTACACGTACACGTACACATACACATATACATACATATACACACGTGAACACGAGCACATAAAAATATAGAGAGACGCAGAAAGAAGACAGACGCACACACCCAGAGTTCCTCCTGAGCGCCATTTTTGTTTCTTTACGCTTTTTGTCGTTCATTATGATTATGATTTGCAATTATATTATATAACAACAGCATATTTTTCTATATATATATATATACATATATTATATATATATGTATATATATACACATAAATATATACAAGTATTATTCAAAGCGCGACGACTCGCTCTCTCTCGTTCCTACCTGTCGCGGTTATTACTACGTTTGACTAGAACAATGATGATGATGACAATAATGATCATTATTATTATTATTATTATTATTATTATTATTATTATTATTATTATTATTATTATTATTATTATTATTATTATTATTGTTATTATTATTGTTATTGTTATTATTATATTTTTTAACATTATGTTATTATGAAGGTGACTATGACGATGATAATAATTCTGCAATTATTAATTAAATAATAATAATAATAATATTATTGCTCTTATTATTATTATTATTATTATTATTATTAATATTATTAGTATGATGATGATGATGATTATGATGATGATTATGATGATGATGATTATGATTATGATGATGATGATGATGATGATGATGATGATGATAATTATGATGATAATTATGATGATGATGATGATGATGATGAAAATGACTATGATGATGACTATGATGACTACAATGATGATGAAACAGAAAGACAAAAAGGCAACGCGGCATAAATATTTTTAACAGATGTAAAGAAACGAATATGCGCGCACCGAGCCACTCACTTTTTTATTGTAAAAAACCATTGCGTCGCCGTATCGATCTCTCTCTCTTTCTCTTTCTATCTCTTTCTATCTCTTTTTATCTCTTTCTCTCTCTCACTCTCTCTCTCTCTCTCTCTCTCTCTCTCTCTCTCTCTCTCTCTCTCTCTCTCTCTTTCTCTCTCTCTCCCTTCGTCAATCTTGTCGAGTGACCATCTCGATGGGATTTCAACGAATCGATGGGATCGCAGGATAAATATTTTATTCTTCATGTTGGAAAAACGATCGACAACGTGTACACCTATCATGATCATGTAAAAAATATCATTTCATAAAAATACGTAGATGTAATATTGGATCGTGTGGTACGAATATCTTCTTTTTTTGTTTTAATGATAGGTGTCATCACGATCGTCTTTCCAATAGACTTTGACAAATTATTGCGATCAAAAGTTATACTGTACGACGACAGAGTTTTTAACTCTCATCGATCCTTTCGACGATTGGTAAAAACATTGGCTCTGTTGATCGTGGTTATCTTTTCTCTATCTCTCTCTTTCTCTCTCTTTCACTCTTTCTCTCTCTTTCTCTCTCTTTCACTCTTTCTCTCTCTTTCTCTCTCTTTCTCTAATTAAACGAAATATCTTTATTATTATTAAATGTATTATTTTGCGATTTTAGTGACAAGGAATCACAAATATATATATATATATATATATATATATATACATATACACGTACACGTACACGTACACGTACACACACACACACACACTTATACACATAAACACGAGTACGATGTGTTATTATTAAATTACACAGATATTGTATTTCTTTTGATCTATCTTTTTTTCCTCCTTTTTTTTATTTTTTTTCTCTCCTTTTCTTTCATTTCGTTCAGGAACAACAAATATTTTATTAATATTAATCGCATTCCTGTCGCTAAATTCGCTTAATTTATTTATTTTCTCTCTCTCTCTCTCTCTCTCTATTTCTCTCTCTCTCTCTCTCTCTCTATTTCTCTCTCTCTCTCTCTCTCTCTCTCTCTCTCTCTCTCTTTCTCTCTCTCTCTCTCTCTCTTTTTAAACCGATTGAGCGATCATCACCGTAACAGCGAAATAATCGATCTCTCTTATCTTTTTTCTTTCCCCCAACCCCCCCCACGGCTCGACAAAAACTGTGGATCGATCTGTGGCAGGCTTGTCGAAAGGGGTCGGTTTTATAAGGTTCGACCAACGTGTCGAGGCCGAAAGGGCGATTCAAGAACTGAACGGAAGCGTTCCGAAGGGCTCGAGTGAGCCGATCACCGTCAAGTTTGCCAACAATCCAAGCAACAACAAGGCGATACCGCCGTTGGCCTATCTGGCACCCCAGGCGACACGTCGCTTTGGCGGCCCGATCCACCATCCAACTGGCCGCTTCAGGTACATTCCACTGTCGCCACTATCCAGGTACCTACTCGCCTCTACTCGCTCTACCCAAAGATCTCGTTCTCTATTTCTTTTATATTATCTATCTCTATCTCTCACTGTCTCTCTATCTCTATCTATCTATCTATCTATCTATCTATCAACTTTTCTATTATCTCTTTTATCTATCTATCTATCTATCTATCTATCTATCTATCTATCTATCTATCTATCTATCTTTTCATCACAATCATTATCTCTTCAACTCTGACAAATCTATCTACCTTTCTTTCTTTCTATCTCTCTCTCTCTCTCTTTCTTTTTCTTTCCCTCACCGTCTCATTCTATCATATTAAAGCACACAATCACATACGATCACATATGCAATCGACCAGGTCGATCGATCGATCCGCGTTTGTTTCCAACTATAAGCTCCCCACCATCATCACCCTATCATTCTCACCCTCTGCCCTTTCCATTTCTCTCTCCCTCTCTCTCTCTTTCTCTCTCTCTCTCTCTCTACACCTCTCTGTTCCTCCTCTTCTTCTTTTTCTTCTTCTATTTCTTCTTTTTCGTCACCATGTATGTAACGAAAAACTTTTTTTCTTCTTTTTTTTTCTTTTTTTTTTCTTCCTTTTTTTTTTCTTTTTTTTCCGAACGATGCTCTCACTTTACTTCGATTTTTTTTCCACAGTCCATCCTGATCTGGCGAGAGTAAGAAAACGAACTAGAGAATTTAGAAGGAGAGTTAGAGGACGAGTTTTTAGAAAGATTCTCGTGATTGTGTTTTTTTGTCTCTCTCTCTCTTTCTCACTCTCTCTTTCTCTCTCTCTCTCTCTCTCTCTCTCTCTCTTTTTTTCTCTCTGTTTCTTTCTCTCTCTTTCTCTCTTTCTTTTTCTCTCGCTCGTCGTTGTTTACGTCGGAAGGAGGAGGATTGTTCGAGTTAGCGAAGGAATTAACGGTTTCCTTTCTTGAGATTTGACGAGACGATGCCGCGAACGAGAGCGAACAAGAACTCATCAAGTCGAGCATATTTTTCTCTTTATTATTATTATTATTATTATTATTATTATTATTATTATTATTATTATTATTATTATTATATTATTACTATTATCTTTTTATTCTTTGCTATTTTTCTTTTTCTTTATTGTTGTTTACATTTCCATCTATACAATAAAGTATTTTGCAGTAAAGTGACACTTAATGGTTTACTTTCTTGTGTCTTATTTATTTATTTATCTATTTATTTATAATCCGTTTATAATCTAAATTATAAAATTCGTGAGTGTTGATTTTCAATATATATATATATATAAATATATAAATATATATATATATATATTTATTTTTTTGTGTCGTCTAACATAACAAAATCCTCGTCCTTTCTACATTTTTGTGATTGTATATATGTATGTAATATACATATACATATATATATATATATATATATATATATATATATATACATATATTCCGTGTTATATAATTATATTTATAATTGTCCATACTCGTTATATACAGGAAAAAATGATTAGTAAACGGTTCGTTCGATCGATCGATCTTTGTTTCGTTTGTTTGATCTTTGCACTCATCGTTTAATTTCCTTCCTCCCCTTCTCTCTCTCTTTCTCTCTCTCTCTCTCTCTCTCTCTCTTTTTCTACTTTCTATTCTCTACTCTCTTTATTTTCCTGTCATGTCCTATTTTTTCTCCTATGTTCCATCCACGCATTTATAATACTTATCTTTATTTCTGTCCATCGACGTTGTTTTTTTATTTTATTTTATTTTTTTTTATTTTTTTTTATTTATTTTTTTTTTTTTATATATATATATATCTATATATAAATAATCAGGGTAATAAACACGTCCCATCTCCTTTATCGGTGATATCATATATATTTTACATATGCACATAAGTCGCATATTGTATCTCTTAAGTTACGATTATGCATGCATTTATAATTGTTTGAGTCATTTTACCCTTTCCTTGTAACTTTTTCAACCTTTTGATTCGGATTCGCGAATAGACGAATAATTTATAAATAAAATTTTCAAAACTCTCTCGAATATTAACATAGTTCGATGATAAACTATCGAGATTAGGATCTTATAGAAATGATAGAAAATAGGAACTATCTGTATCGTTACAGCCTTTGGAGCTTCTTTAATACTTTTAAATTTATATTCACAGATACAGATATTCATTATCTTTATAATTTCAACAAAAGATTTTTTTCATTCATCGTATAGATTTTTTAAAACATGTTATTTACTCACGGTCGTACATTATTATTATGTACACGTACATATATACTAGTTTAATTTAATAGCATTACTTATATTTTTGTATGTACATATATATATATATGTATATATATATACATAATATGACATACAAAAATTGGAACACAAACGATGTACTTACATACGTATCTGAAAATCTTATTTTACATTAGTAAATCGAATTATCGAATATGTTACATAATATACTTATGTGGGTGATTAAAAAAAAAAAAAAAAAAACACATCTCAAATAACGCTGAAAGTATATATAATAATATCCCCATTTCGAA